ATTAGAATGAATATTTTTGGTTATTGAAGAGATAGGTGTTACCTAATAAATTATGAGAGACGACAGAAGTTACTTGAAGGAAATTTATGAGGAATATGAAGAGTAAAAAATAGAGGGGAAGAGAGGAAATGGAGACCTATAAATAGGAAAGGATTTGGAAGGAACAAGGGGTATCACATACACCTTAACCATCCTTTTAAGAATCTCCTCGAGTAAGAATGGGGAAGTCATCCTTTTAGTGATTTTAGAAATAACACCTCTTACCCTTGAACACTGGATATTTATCAAATTCATTCATGAATGGACAAATATTCTTATTAAACACTACTTTATAACCACTATCACAAAATTGAATTATGCTAAGTAGGTTGTGTTTTTGTCCATCTACTAACCAGACATTATTGATAGAGATATAAGAATTACCAATAGTGCATGTACCAATGATCTTCCCCTTTAGGTTTCCTCCAAATCCCACAGATCCTCCCTCTTTTAGAGTGAGGGTTTGGAACATATGCTTTTCCCCTTTCATGTGTCCTAAGTAGCCACTATCCAGGTACCATGATTGTTGCTTTGTTTCTCCCTTGAATTATATCTATAGAAAAATGATTTCAGATTTAGATACCTATAGTCTTATAGGTCCTTTAGGATTAATTCTAACATTTTTTCTCTTGTTTTGTACCTTTCTTGTCATATGGACATGCTTAGACTCATTCAAGACTTTTGATTTAGACTTTTTTATTTTAAATAAGTCTTGACCTTAGGTTCTGTACCTTTTAGAACCTTGTGACCTGATGCCTTAGGTGCTGGTTTCTTCAAAACCTTTGACTTTAGAGTCTTAGGTTTTAGTTACTTCAGAACCTTTAACTTTATAGTCTCAGGTTCTGGTTTCTTGTGAACCCTTGACTCATCAGTTTTAGATTCTGATTGGTACCCTTGACTCAACAATTTTAGATTCTAATTAGTTCAAAACCTTTGCATTGTTAGAATGCGATGCAAATAAAAGTCTAACCCTTTTTTAGTAGATTTTGAAGAGGAAAGATCTGATTGTTTTAATCAAGGTTTGAGTTCTTGGATTAAAAGATTTTTGATAATATCCACGACCTTCTCCTCTACTTCTACTTACAACATAGATCATGGGTGCAAGTTTGGTTCTTTTATGGACAGTTAAGATAAATTCTTGAAGAACCATTTCATGCTCATTAAGAGTTTAATTAGACACATCTTTAACAATAACAATATGATCTTTCTCAAGAGTTTCATTTTTGTTTTGAACAGATCTAAATTCATATTTCAAAATATTATATTGTTTTGTTAACATTTTCATGTGGCTGGCCTTTTCTTGACATCTACTCATAAGATCTTAAATGAAGGTAATCAAATTAGAATGAGATAGATTATAAAATACCTCATCCTCTTTAGATTTTGAACCACAATCTGAGTCTGATTCTGCTTTAGAAGATGTAAGAGCCATCAAAGCTAGATTGAACCGTTCTTTATTTTTCTTAGAATCTTCTTCATTGTTAAGTTCATTCCATGTTTCCACGAGACTCTTCTTGAATCTGTTTTAGAAGCTATCCTTTTGGAAGCTTTTTCTCTTTGACTTATCCTTTTGTAGCTCTAGACATTCAACAATGAAGTAACCAAACTTCTTGTAGTTGAAACAACCCTTCTGATAATCTTTCTTATCTTTTGAACCTAATCCTTTAAAGCCACTGCTTCTACCAGAGAATATTTTGTTCTACTTGGCCAAGTATTGAAATAATTTAATGATAAAGGCCATTTACTTATCATATGTGTCTCCTTCAGAACCTTCTGATTGAGAGGCTTCTTCAAAGTTCCAAACTTTATGGGCTTTTACAGGTTTTGTAGAAGATTTCAAAGCAAGGGAATTTGACTTCTTGACAAGTTCATCTCCATTGAGCTCCATCTCATAACTCTCAAGATTGCTGATTAGACTTTCAAGACTTAAAGAGTTTAAGTATTTAGCCTCTCGGGTGGCTACTACCTTGGGCTTGTATTTGACAGGAAGACTTCTAATAATCTTCTTGACATGATTAGAGGTAGTGTAACTCTTATTCAAAACTTGAAGTTCATATATAAGAATTTGAAACCTAGAAAACATGATTTCAATGTCTTCACATTCCTTCATTCTAAACAACTCATATTGTTAAACTAGAAGGTTAGCCTTGGCTTTCTTAACTTGTTGATTCCCTTCATATGTAGCACATATGGATTTAAAAATGGTTTGACCAGTAGACTTATCAATGGTTTTGATTTACTCTGAATGAATTAGAGCATCAACCAAGATGCATCTAACTCTATGATGTTTTCTGTAAATTTTCTTCTGAGCTGGTGTGAGAGTTTTCCTATCAGTTACCATTCCAACACTATTGACTACAATGTCAATATCATTTTCAAGGATATCTCATAAGTTATCATCAATATCGATAATATATGTGTACATCTTGCTCTTCCCCCATTCAAACTCAGCGGAATCTCCGTTGGAGGTTGAAGGACTAGTTATATAATGATTTTTTTAGAGTTATTGTAGTCATGATTGACATTTCCAAAAGGATTATGAGTACCCCACCAGATACTTCAGAACCATCAGCCATTATATAATATGTATTTTTCTCAGGATCTTTTGTACACCAACAGGGGTTTAGTAGAAACGTTGCTCTGATACCAACTGAAGGTGAGAAAAACACAAGAATTGAATTATTTTGGCTTTATCTCTTTCTAAGATTTTTCTTCTCTTGTTTCTGATGGATCTTTATCAGATTCTGAACACTTGGTTGAGATTCTAACTCAGAAAACTTAGTTTACTTCTGAAAGTCCTTATTAGATTCTGAACCAGAATCTGACTTATAGTATCAGAGTTAACAACAGTGGAATATAGTTCAGAAGCAAGTAAAGTAAAGCAGAGACACATGCAGTTATTCTGATTTCTCTCACAACTTGAGAGTAGTCTAATCCCCTTGCACTTCTAAGGAATTTCCACTATAACCAAACTGATTACAAATACTCAAGCACCAAGCAAGAGACTTCTAATACTCAAACCCACAAGTAAAATACTTATATACTCAAACACACAAGCAAGAGACTTTCAATTCTCAAACCCTAGAATAAAAGACTTCTATACTCAAGTACACATGTAAGAGACTTCTGACTCTATAACAAACTGTTAAGAGATTTGGGTAACAACTACACTTGATATACTGTCAGAGGTGTAGACAGAATACAACTTAAAAAGACTATAAGACTTAAGAAATCCTAAAATATACACAACGTTAAGATGTTCTAGGTCTAGTTTGTTTCTGACAAAGTAACTTCTCTTTGAAATGTCAAGGTTCAGAGTCTTGTGATGTAGTGTATTGTATTAGTCTTCTTCTTCAAGTTTTATGCTCCTTATATAGAGAGGAAGAAAAGAGACGTTGAAGACTTTCACCAAAATGTTGAATAACCTTTGTACTTAATTGAGCACATCAAGAAAACAACTTTCGGCAAGAGAAATTATCCATTGAAGCTCAGATAACAAAGAATAGATTTTTCCTTAAGTCTTCACGTGATCAAAAGGTCTGAGTTTGTCAGAGTTACCTAAATTGAAAAGAATATGCTTACGTGCTTGCTTTCTTCAAACTTCACTCTTCAGAGTCGGCTTCTTGCCTTCTAAAGCGTTAGAGTCTGGGTTACCAGAGGTTGACTTTCATTAAAGTTAACTTCTTCAGAGTTGACTTTCAAAGTCTGGATCTTCCATCAGAGTCAGAGTCTTTAGAAGTAATATTCAGAGCTAGAGTCTAAACTTCAGAGTCAGAATCTTCAAGCTTCTTTTTATCTGTTCTCAGTCTTATAATTATGCATAGTTGAACAAGTGTTCTAATAGTCGATTATTCTTTAATTACATACTTTGTTATCATCAAAATTCAAGGGATGTGGTATCAACCAATTTTGTTCTAACAAAAATAAAATTCAATTCATCTTATAGATATTAATCTTGATCTAAATGTGTAATTATTAAGAGAATTTAATTAGCAATACTTATCAATAATGACAATTTTTGAAATCATATATAGATGTTTGATACCAAATGATTAGTTTTAAAAACATTATACAATCATTATTATAAATATAATAAAAAGATCATTCTATATAATATCTTTCAGATTTATTTTCGTAGTGATTCTTTATTAATGCTTTATGTTTGTATTTTTTTATGTAGTTTTTCAAGAAATTATATCACTAATAATCCCACAAATCAAAATTAAAACATCATAATTTACGCAATTCTACGAATTCTACAAGAATAGATAAATTTTAAACATATAATTAAATTACAATAAAAGTTTAAATATTGATAAATCAATCCTTCACTGACATATGCAATTCTTCAATAACTCTTTAATATTACTTTTATTATAATTTTTCACGAAGTATATCACAAATGTTCATTATAATTCTTATTGAAAAAATATTGTTGATTCTGCGATCCTTCTAAAATATTTTAAAATACTTATGTATACAATCCTTTTATGAATGAACATCCATAATCATTAAAATCCTTCTAAAATAATTATAACTCATGTTTTTTTAAACCAACATCTCTCAATGATTCATAACCACCAAGAGATCTTGAGGTTACATGTTAGTCTCTCTTTTTACTCAATTATGAAAAGTAGGGTTCTAAGACTAAGAATGAGGAAGAACAAGAAATTAACTTGATTCATTCTTTATGTTGATTAATGCAGAAAACATAAAACAACATTTAAATCATAATGTTTTTATTTATAATATGGAGAACAAAAGCACACTTTTCTTTCTCTGCGTTACACTCACATTCTTGTTTTCGCAATAACATTGTAAACAAAAGATTGAAATGAAGATTACAAGAATATATTTTCCATGCTTTGTAAACCTTATATATTTCTTATTTAGCGTACTTCATTAATAGCATTTTCTAAACACAAGTACCATCATAGGGTACTTGGTTGGTTTGGTGGCTTCTAGTATGGAGGAGGAGGCGTGTAAACTGGTGGTTTATAAACCGGAGGTTTTTCGACTGGTGGTTTGTATACTGGAGGTTTCTCTACCGGTGGTTTGTAGGTTGGAGGCTTCTCAACTGGAGGCTTGTAGACTGGAGGCTTCTCTACAGGTGGTTTGTAAACTGGAGGCTTCTCAACTGGTGGTTTGTACACCGGTGGCTTTTCAGTAGGTGGCTTGTAGACAGGAGGTTGGTAAACAGGTGGTTTATAGACGGGAGGTTTCTCGACAGGTGGTTTGTAAACAGGAGGTTTCTCGACAGGTGGCTTGTACACAGGTGGCTTTTCTACTGGTGGTTTGTAAACAGGAGGCTTTTCAACCGGCGGCTTGTAGATGGGAGGTGTTTCCACCGGTGGTTGATAAATAGGAGGTTTCTCATAGTTGGCAAACCCCTGAGGAATGATAAGAGCAAGAAGGAGTAACACTAGGAAGGTTATGGAAGCCATGTTGGTGTGTTTGGTGCATGAAACACAAGAGTGACTACTTGCTTTTATACTAATATTGGTGCATGTCTCAAATTGTAATCAGTACTGACGTGGCACTTTGTTTATCAAAAGTCAATAGTTTTGTTGTGAATTTTCAACACTGTTACCTGTGATTTTGTTATCATATGGCGGCGAAGTTTGAAATTGTGTGAATTGGAATGGACAAGTTGTATCATTTTTCAATACACTAATTCACCGACACAATTAGTGATTATATATTCCAAAAATGTGTCCTTTCAAAGAGACTATTTTCATCTAACAAAGATCTAGTACAAGATTGTGTAAAAATAGAGACGCGAAATAGGGTCACATACACCCTTTCACCTGCTCCTTTGTCTTAGTGAAATTTTTGACTTAAATCAGTATTAGTTGGAACTCGATTTTATAAAATGGGTTGAATGACTATTGACATATTTTTGGTGCAAACTGCAATTTATAACATATTGACTTCTTGCCGGCACTTCTAAGTTTACTCTACTCTTTGTGCTGTTCCAATCTTGGGTTTTATACTCTGGTGACTTGCCCTTTCCATAACACAAACCTACTTTTACTTTAAATTCATAGATTAGGCCTTTATTTTTTATATATATGCCGGCTATTCATCTATGTAACTCACAAAGCACAACAAAACAATATTCAGATGATTGGAAAGGTTAATTGATGGGGAAAGGTTAATTGATATTGTGTTACGGTGGCTCAATATTCACATGCGGTGGAGCGGAGTGATCTACAAGATTAGGACTCCAACGATGAAGTGTGGATGACTACTGAATGAATATGAAGCTGGGAACTCTTTTAGGATGAGGTAACCTGAGTGCGTGTGAAAATGCAATAAATGGTTTCATCACCTGTGAAGTCATCATATGGAGGTGTCGGATGGAATGTCGACATTTTTTGGAAATAGCAAAAATAGGGCAACACCCTTACGTGGCGTGATGTGGTGTGAGAATATTATAGTGTCTTTCGCAAAGTTCCAGTGAGATCTCAATTGTTGGTAATGGGAGTGATCGTACGATCCCCAATTTTTTAAAGAGGTATCCAGGTTTACTTATGAGACATTGTTCCTTTTTACTGAATGCTTATTGACTTTTCGAGAAATTTTTTATCTTTCTAATTTTTGCTTTAGAGATTCTTTTTGTACAAGGGTTGATCTGCTATCCGAGAAGTTTCAGTCGTTCGTTTAATTTTGCGTGTTTGACTTCTTGCTCAAACTCTTAAGTTTTAGTGTTTTAGGATTTTAGGTGCTTCGAACTCGTTTGATTTGCTAGTTGCTCTTGCATTTGTCCTTTAGCCTCTTAGGTTATGGAGATTACATATGTTTCAACTAAGAAGGTTGGTAAAGATATTTTGAGAGTTTGGGTGAACTCAAAGATATCGGTCGTTGCTTCTGCTTTCTCTCGTGGAGACGTTTTTGCCTAAGATATGATTGAAGTGGGTCCACGAAAAGATTAGGATGTTCTTTCTCTATATGAGAATCAAAGGGTGTGCGACCCGTATGATGGGTGTGCTATTCCATTTCATAAGTTTGTTTTCTCTTGTCGGTTGCCGTCGTCCTTTTAATTAGTTTGAGATTAGGTGTTCTAAATCATCTTCTCACGGCCTCTCGTAGTTTCATCCTATTAGTTGGGTGTTTGTCAAAGTTTTTTTTACCACTGGTTCAAATATAAGGGTAGCAAGCCAACAATGACATTGTTCTACCACCTTTTCAAAGTGTAAAGTGGTTCCAAATGAGCGAATGATTCTGGTTTAATTTTCTAGTACTAAGTATTTTGAAACTTACTCTGATAGTGTGAAAATTTTTAAGGACCGTTTCTTGAGCCTCACATTCATGACACTGAATACGTTTTCTTTGATTTGGCTTCTCTTATGTCCTTACTTTTCTCTGACATGTTCTTGACATCTGATCTTGTGTTCCTATCCATACTCTTCAGCACCTTCTTGAATTGCCTCCCGAGAAGAACAATAGCATTAGAAATTCCTTCATCGGTCTCTATGTCACATTGAACTTCTTCATCATTAGTTTTGGAGATAAAAGTTATGCTCTTGTTCTTATTTTTAGATCTTTCATTGATAGTCAATTCAAAGGTTTGAAGTGACCCAACAAGCTCCTTCACTTTCATGTTGCTAATGTCTTATGCTTCTTCGATCGTTGTGACCTTCATGTCAAACTTCTTAGGCAACGACCTGATAACCTTTCTAACCAGCTTCTCCTTTGACATCTTCTCTCCCAAGGCACTAGATGTATTGGCAATATCAAGAATATTCATGTGAAAGTCATGAATGGACTCGTCATCTTTCATCCCGAGATTTTAAAATTTGGTGGTGAGAAGTTGAAGTCTTGACATCTTTACTTTTGATGTACCTTCACGAGTGGTTATGAGGATTTCCCATGCATCTCTCGCCACGGTACACATATTTATCAACCTGAAAATATTTTTTCAACCCCATTGAACAAGGCGTTCAAAGCTTTGGAGTTTCCAAGAGCAATTTCATCTTCTTCCTTAGACCAGTCTTCTTCAGGATTCAATTCAGTCTTCTTATCATTGTCCTTCATCACAGGATGTTCCCAAACATTGATAACTGCTTTCCAGGTTTTTCTATCCATAGATTTTAGAAAAGCCAACATGCGTGCCTTCTAGTAATTATAGTTGGCGCCATCCAAAATATGTGGCATGTTAACAAATCCTGCCTCCTTTTCCATGGTACCAGAAAGTATCTTCCATGGAGCTCATCTTAAACAGAACAAGTGTTTGTTCTGATGGAAATTGAATTTCTGGCACGTAGTGGACAAATGTTGTATACGATGTTACGACACTAGAATGTCAAATGCAATGTCAAGACGTCGTGACAACATCAATAAAAAAACACGACTTAAAGTAAGATACAGAAAATAAATAACTCAAGGAAGTTGTTAACCTAGTTCGGTGCAACGTCACCTACATTTGGGGGCTACTAAGTCAGGATCTTCTTCTTCTCACCATAAAAATGCCCTCAACCATAAAACCTAACATAATTATTCCAATAATTAAAATATCACTTAAAATAATAATACTAATATTTTCATTAATTCTTACCACACCCTAGCTCTTTACTCAAAATATCTATTTCCCTCTAATTTTAAATAAAACTCCATATTTTCCCAACTCTAAAATATCTCTTATTTTCTAATTAAGTTAACAATAATACTAGTTAAATCTCTAACCATCCTTAATTATTCTATTTAATTAAATAAAACACTCATAATGGGCAATTCGAATACATCTGCCGGTTTTTTTTCCAGGAATATGTGGTTTGAACAAGGGTCCATTAATGATACCATAATATTGAACATCTTCTTTTTCCAAATTTCCTAGCTCTTGCTCTAACATATTATTTAACTTTAGTAAGTTCTTGTGGATGATTCCTTCCCAAATAGATATCATGGAACAATCACCTACATCTTCTTCAGGATATCATAGGGAATTGAGTACATCGAACACAACTTGCTTCCCATTTACTCTCATAGTGAGTTCTCCTCTTTCCACGTTAATTAATGTTCTGCTTGTGGCTAGGAAAGGTCTTATCAACTGAATGGGAGTGTTTTCGTCAGTATTAAAATCCATAATAATGAAAACACCAGGGAACACAAACTTGTCAACTCTTACTATCATATATTCTATCTTCCCTTGGGGATAACACATGCTTATGTCAGCTGCCTATAGAGTAATTGTTGTTTCCCTGTAAGCTTTAATGCCAAGTTTCTTGAACATGGACAAGGGCATGAGATTTATACAAGCTATCACATAGTTCCCTTCCACAAAAAGTATCTCTTATAGTGTAGAGGATTGTAAAAATTCTAGGGTCCTTCGTTTTTTGAGGGAGCTTGCCTTGAACTAACTGGCTGCACTATTAAGTTAGTGCAACAATTGCAAACTCACACGCTCTTTTTCTCTTATTGAGCACATATTTCATAAACTTTGAATAGTTTGGAATTTTTTGGATGGCATCAATCAATGGTATGTTGGTGTGAAGCTATTTTAAAAACTCCATGACCTTGCCAAACTTCTGCTCTTCTTTCGCATTCCTAATCCTATGAGGAAAATGAGGTGGAGGTATTTCTTGCACAAACTTCTGGACTCTGTCAACCTCTGACATGACTTTGGCCTATTTTCTTTAAAGGATGTCATACCAATAACATTGTTGTCAATATTTCCTTCGTTGTATCCTTTTGAGGAAGGCTCCTTATTGGACTCTACTTGATCTTATGAACTTTATCGGGCTGGTAGTTCTTCACTTGACTGATTGTTTCTTGGTAAGGCTCATTCACATTCTTTTCCACCTCTGGGCTTAATGACTTGATAGGTTTTAATATTCTTAACTCTAGATGTTGAGGCTTGAGCTTCATTAGAGCTTAGGAAAACACCTTGATTTATTGAACTAAGTGCAGTGGAAATCTGACTCACTTGGTTCTCTAAATTTTTTATGCTTACTCATTGTGCTTGAAACTGATTTTTGGTTTATTAAATGAAGGAATTCAAAATATTTTCTATCTGGTTATTCCCTTGGTTTGCCACAACATAATTAGGTGCAGAATAACTAGGGGGACTTGTGGTGCTTGAGTTGCTTGAGGTTTTAGTTGATTTTGATTATTACTCCATGAGGAATTAGGGTGATTATATCAACCAGGATTGTAAGTGTTGTTGTAGGGGTTGTTATACGTGTTGTTGCCAAAATAGTTAACAAAAACAGGATTTGCTGAGCATTCTTCAAATAAACTAGTAGGATAGCTGTGTGTCCGCACGAGTACTGATGTGTGGACTTTGGAATTGTTACCAGTTTGATTTTGAAATTCAAATAAAATAAAAAATATTTAAATTTAATTGTAAAAAAGGAAAAATAGAAGAAAAAAAAGGTAGTCAAAGATAAATATATAAGTTAATCAAAGATAAATATTTAAATGAAAGACATATTTTTAAAATAAA